TAAGCTCCTCATTACATCTTTTCCCCTGCAAATAACATAATTTATTTCTTCTTTTTGAAATGTGTGTGCAAGCCCACATGTGGAGGCCAGAGGATCACTCAGCTGTCACCTTCAGGAATGATGTCCATCTCTTTTGAGAAAGCAAAGTTTAATCAAGAGTAAAAAGAAGTTTTTCAAACTGGTGGAGTACAGTGCTAAAAATGTTCACTCTTCTTTAATTCAACAATGTCTGCTGAGAATGTTAGTGGTAGAAAGATTTTAAAACTCCTTTAATTTACTGTACAAGCCTGAAAAAAAATGTTCTGGGAAGGGTTAGGTCAGGACAACCTTAATTTTCTACTCTGATACTCTAGTGAGGACAGGCTTGAGATGTTCACCTGGGGACTTTCTTTTGCATCAAGTACTGCCTGTTTCTGTATCTAAATAGGTATAACGATCTTTAATAACTCAGTCCACCCCTTTTGTACTCTTCTGACAACTTTCCTCTTGATTCCAGTTTTTCAGCATGTATTTTAAAAGCCCAGGTTTCCCTGGCCTGTCATTAGCACTGCTATGAACAATACCCAGATAGAGCAGAAGGAAGCTTAACTGTCACCAGCATCCACACAACTGAGTTCAGGGAGGTGGGACTTAGTGGGATGTATTACCTACTTTTTACTAGGGCTACCTATGCTGCATTTGGCAACAGGTCAGTTTCTCTCTTTTTGCTCACATATCCCACAGGTATCTCTTCTTAAACATTTTAACCTAATGCTCTATGCTCTGCACTCCAGTCATACAGGAAATGAGCTCTCATGGGGGATCCTTCTGTAAGATCTCAGAGAATCTTCATAACCATCTGTGCAATATACAATAGGACTCTCCAAAATAAACTGGAACAGTTCTCTTTGAACGTAACACTTTAAACTTTAGACATTAACAAGTGGTAACTAAACAAAATAGCTGAAACCTTCAAATGACCTGACAAGTATCCTTCACTAAGTCTTTACTTCAACAGCTAAACAATGATAAGAGAGTGTGGCCTTACAGAGACTTTACCCACAACATCCTGAAGGAGGGACTAATACATTCCAAAATGGACGGAAAATGGGGTGAAAAGCCAGTACCATAGGAAACAGACTAAACTGATTCTGGACTCTACCTCATTTAGAAGGAAGCTTTGTGAAAGTTTTTGTTTATAAAGTAGATCCACAGTGTTAACACTCAAGTATATGCATGGTAGAACATGCCTGCAGTCCTAAAGTTAGAGAGGCGGAGGTAAGAGGGTCATGAGTCCAAGGCCAGCCTTGGTATATAAGCAAGATCTTGTCTTTAAAAGAAGAAAACAACAAAGCTCAAACCAGAAAGCACAGAATGGACAGTAGTGAAAATTCAGGATGCCTATTTCAATGTCTATAAATATTAGTGTTTGTACCTACCTCCTTCGCACTCTTAATTTTGGTCAGAAATGTATGCAGTTCCATGGTTTCTGCAAACAGTGCTCGACATACTGCCTGATAATGATTTGGTGCCTCCGACTCAGTTGGGAGATGAGCAGCACATATCTATAGAAGAAAGAAAAATGGAATTTGGCTATTACTGGTATTTTAGGAACTATTAAAATATACACACCCAGTTTACCTATAGTTTTTGTTTTAGATGTCCTGTCATCTGAGATTCAGTGTACCATAGGATCACAGGTATACTCTATACAATCATGTGGAAAAATGGTTTAGTAAAAGACACCCAACAGCAAAGATAAGTGACTAAAATTAGCTCTAATTTGAAAATGAGAGCAATTCCATCTTATACATATCAGAATGGCTAAGAGCAAAAGCTCAACTGAGCACATGCTGGCAAGAATGTGGAACAATGGGAACATTTCTCCATTGCTGGTGGGAGTACAAACTTGGACAACAACTTTGGAAATCAATTTGGAGGTTACTCTGAAAATTGGGAATAGTTCTACCTCAAGACCCAGCTATACCCTTTTTGGGCATACACTCAAAAGATGCTCCACCATCCCACAAAGACACCTGCTCAGCTATGTTCACAACAGGTTTACTTGTAACAGCCAGAAACTGGAAATACCCTAGATGTCCTTCAAACGAAGAATGGATTTAAAAAAATCTAGTATATCTACACAATGTAATCAGCTATTAAAAACACAGACATCATGAAATTTGCAGGCAAATGGATGGAACTAGAAAAAAAATCATCTTGAGTGAGGTGACTCAGACCCAGAAAGATACCCATGATATATACTCACTGGTAAGTGGACATTAGCCATGAAGTACAGGATAACCATGGTACAGTCCACAGACTCAAAGAAACTAAGTAACAAGAAGGGCTCAAGGGAAGTGTGAATCTCACTCAGAAGGGGAAATAAAATAGATATCAGAAGTGGATGGAGGAAGGAAACTGGGTGGGAGATGGAGATGAGTAGGGGAGCAGGGATGGGGACCAGATGTAGGAGAGGAGGGCTAGGAAATAGAATGGAAATTAGGGGGTATCTCTAGGATGAGCCAGGGACCTGGGATGAGAGAGGCTCCCAGGAGTCCATGGGGGTAACCCTAGCTGAGACTTCTAGCAACTGGGGATATGGAGAGTGAAGTGGCTACCTCCTGCAGTCAGACAGGAGTTTCAGTGGAGGGAGGTGGAATACCAACCCACCCACAGAATCTTGAACCCAAAATCTGTCCTACCTACAAGATGCACAGGGATAAAGATAGAGCAGAGATTTAGGAACGGACCAAATAGTGACTGGCCCAAGTAAAGTCTCATCTCATAGGAGAGCCACCCTGACACTATGAATAATACTACACTATGCTTGCAGACAGGAACCTAGCATAACTGTCTCCTGAGAGGCTTCATTAGTAGCTGATGGAAACATGTAGAGACTCATAGCCAAATATTAGGCAGAGCTTGGGTAGTTCTGTGGAAGAGCGGGAGACAGGACTGGGTGAGCCAGAGGGGTGAAGGACATCACAAGGAGACCTACAGAGTCAACTAACCTGCGTCCATGGAGGCTCACAGAGACTGAACCAGCAACCAAAGAGCATGAAAGGGCTGGACCTAGGCCCCCTACGCATTTGTAGCAGATGTGCAGCTTGTTCTTCATGTGGGATCCCTAACAATTGGAGAGAGGGTTGTCTCAGACTCTGTTGACTGCTTTTGAATCCCTTTCACCTAGCTGGATGCTTTGTCAGGCCTCAGTGGGAAAGGATAGGCTTAGTCCTACTTCAGCTTGATATACTGGGATGGGTTGGTACCCATAGGGGACCTCCCTTTCTCTGAGAAGGGGCTGTGGTAATGGGGGGATGTGGTGGAATTGGAAGGAAAGGAATGAGGGATGTTGTAATTGGGATATAAAGTGATTAAAGAAAGAGGAAGGAAATAATGCACATAATAAAGATTGTGTTCCAGTTTGAAAAAAAGAAAATGAGAGGACATGTGTCAAACTTCTACCTGAAATGGAAAAGAGGGTGGGATTTGCTAAACAGTGCCAAGAACTCAGGTAGTTTAGCAGTACAATGATTCGTTTCAGCTGTCAAATTGATGGAACTGTAACCTGGGAAAAGTTAACCTTAACTGAAGACTTGCCTTGAACAGATTGGCCTGTGGCCATGTCTTAATTGTGGCCATTTTCTTAACTGTTGATTGCCTAGGGTCTATTCCACACCAGGCGTTTCAATCCCTAGGCAGGTGGGTCTGAATTATATAAGAAAACTAAGCAAGCCAGAGAGAGCAAGCTTGTAAGCAACATTCCTCCATGGTTTCTGTCTGAAGTTACTGCTCTGACTTCCCTCAACAGTAGACTAGAGCCTGTAAGATGAAACAAATCATTTCCTCTCCAAGTTATATTTGGTCCGTATTTATCACAGCAACAAAAAGCAAACTGGACAGCCAGCTACCATTTATCATGCCACATGCTGTGTTTGATATGTCACATATACAGCATGACACCATGCACTCTCCAATGTAATCCCAAATCCTTCCCCTGGTTTTTTGTTTTATTTGTTTGTTTTGTTTTGTTAACCACAAGGAGACTCCAAACATATATCTACTAGGTTCTGAAGCCCAGATTCAATTCACCTGTAAGGGCTGGGGAAGTGGGAATGGAGGGTGGTGGGGAGGGCAGAGCTGGTGGTACACTCAGGTACTGCCTGTATCCTCGAGTCCTGAGATGACTGTGAGTAAGAAATGCAACTTAACATGATGAAAACTGATTTGTTCCTTTATTTTACTGCAAAGCTATCCTCTTAAGATTCTAAAGAATAATGTTACATTTCTATAAAATAACTATTATGTATCCATGTTCAGTAGTCACATTTTAAAGTTCTTCAGTTGCAGTAAAAAGTTGCTGTTAACCTCTCTTAATAAATTAGACATTAATATGATTGTTGAAAAAATCTTTTATATTTTAAGAATTTCTAAGAAAGAATAAAAGAGAACTGAGTAAGGTGAGTGTATGTCTATAATCAATCCTACCACTTGGTAGGCAGAGACAGGAAAGTCAGGAATCCATGGTCATTCACTATGTAGAAGGTTTAATGCCAGCCTGGGCTCCATAAAATACTGTTTTATTATAGGAGTCAAAAGAAGGTATAGTGGCACACACCAAAGGTCCCAGCATTCCAGAGGCAGGGGCAGGGGCAGGGGCAGGGGCAGGGGGAGGGGGAGGGGGAGGGGGAGGGGCAGGAGGAGGGGGAGGGGCAGGGGC